ACGAGTCAGTGAACGTGGAAGCGGTATACAGCCTGTCATCTCATCTGACGCAAAAGATACCGGCGTAGTCTTCTTTCTCACGGGGCGAGAAGCACTTCCTCTGACATCCAAATCAGGAGGGAGGCGGCGCTGGTGGGCGCCTGGCGTGACGCGCAGCTTTGCGAGAGCGCCGAGCCCGAGCTTGGTCATGCCTGAGAACCATCGAGCGGTGATCAACAAGGAATTCTGAATGAGAGCGCCGGGTCCAAGCTTGGTCATGCCGGCGGCGGCTCGGAGGGTGAGGGGCTCGGAGGGGGAGGGGGTGAGCAGGTTCAGCTCGTCGAAGGAGGGGAGGTGGGACAGGTTGAGCAGGGAGACGTTGAGCGACAGGTTGCCCAGCCGCGACACGGGCAGCTCGAGCGGCGGCAGCAGCCCAGACGCGTTGAGCGCGAGGGAGCCGGTTCCGTTGGTGAGCAGCTCGGCGATCCGGTTGAGGCCGAGGGGGCCGTCGGTTCCGACCACGTCGTTGAGGACGTAGTCTGCGACCGCGACCGCCTCCGAGGCGGACCAGTTTGCGAGGGCCGGCTTGTATGGCGGCTCGGGCAGCTCTGGCGGCGGGGCGGCTTCTGCGTAGGCGGTGAGGTTGGAGACGAGGGGCGCGAGGGCGGCGTCCGCCTGTCGCGAGGGGGTGGGCGGTGAGGGAGGGGGGCGGGCGTGGGGGTGGCGGGGTGGCGGAGTAGAGAGGAGCATTCGGCAGGAGGGGAGCAGGAAGGAGGAGGAGGGAGGGAAGGGCGGAGCGCGGAGAGCCTTGCTCCGGAGCTTGGTGACGATGGAGGGGAGCTGTCCGACGACGGTCTGGATGAGGACGCCCTTGATGGCGTTGATCAGCTTGATCCAGATGTTGCCCGTCAGGTCGAGCTCCACCCTCTTCGGGTCCACGGCCAGGCTGCAGTTCCGCTCGTCCGTCACGACAGAGCGAGGCACGCCCTCTGTCAGGTGCGCGACGAGGCCGGCGCGGAGTGTGGCGCCCGAGATGCCGGCGGTGCCCTTGCCGATCGCCTCCGCGTGTGGGAACGCGATCTGCTTCGCGTCCAGCCGGCGGATGGAGCAGTTGAAGGACAGCTCGTCCGCCGCCACGCTGAGAGTCACGTTGTGCGCGCCGCGCCGCGACACGGCCGAGGAGAGGTCTCCAACCTTGAAGGTGGAGCAGCGGACTCCGTCCAGCTTGATGTTGAAGCCTCCGACATTGTCAAGCTCGTAGTGGTCAATATCAATGTGCGCGTCACACAGCCACGAGCGGAGACTGGAGCCAGGCGGACAGCCTCCGTCGCTCAGCGCGCTGAGGACGCGGTCGGCAGGAAATTCGTATTCGTGTGCGACCGCGGCGAGCGGGAGGAGGAGGACGAGCCAGCTCATGGCATCGGTTGGGAGTGATTGACGAATGTTCGTGAGAGCTGTGCAAGGGATTGAGGGCGGCTAGCGGGGTGTGCGCAGGGCTCGGCGTTTTTTTATAACCACAGGCCGACGCTCACATCCGGAATTTTTCTTCCTTTACTTGTGTATGCCTAGCCAACCGATGGCGTGAGATAGGGTGCTGACCTTTCTCGCCGAGGCTCGCCGTGGCCCCACACGGCGGCCTCTGCTCGCGTTTTCGAGCCAGGACCTTCGTCCGGGCCCACGGCCGGCACGCCGTCAAATTTTCTCGCCGATCCCGCGCGCTCGGCCGCCACCGCGGCGCCTCCGAGAGCGCCGTTTCGACACGCTGCAGCCGCGGGCCGCGGCACCTCGACACACCGCCTCTCGCGCCGCCTTGAGGTGCTCCGATCGTGCACGCGGGTCGGCTCGGCACGGTGCGTGCAAATTATTGCATGTATTCGCACTCGCTGCGCCACGTATCTGCCTCTGACGGCCCGATACGCCACCCGAAGCGCCACCGGTCCACACACGCGGGGCTGCGCGACTCTCTCGCGGCCCACCGCCCTCCCACACGCCGTTCGACCTCCACACAGGCGCTCGCTCGAGCCTCGCCGTCCGGGCGGTCCTGCGCGTCCAGATCTCGGCGACCATGACCCGCCACGCGCCAGCTCTGCACCTCTCCCGCGCGCGCCCGGCTGCTGGCATGGCGTGGCGGGCGAGGCTGGCGCGCTGCGACCGGTGGAGCGCCGCGCGGGCAGCGCACCAGCCTCGCACGCACCTCTCCACTGCGCCGCGTGCGCCGCTGGCAGTGTGCTGCGAGGCTCAACATGTGGTCACAGGGTAGTCACGGTGTGGCTTGTGGTGGCTTGTGGTGCTGATCGCTGGCTCAACACACCCCAGGTCGAGATCGCGTGTTGAGACTGTGACGAGAGGCGACGCGCCGCGACCCGCGTCACATGGACATGGATACGGACAATCTCGGGCTCCCGGTCCGCCGCCCCGCGTCGGAGGTCGCTGTGGGTGTGTTTCTTTTTTCGTCTTCTCACAAAACGCGAGCGCACGTGTCCACGTTTCCGAAGAACAGGCGCACGCGGCGCGCAATGCCAGTCACGGGACTGCCCCCCCCGCCCGGTGCAGGGGGTGAGCCCCCGCTGCGTATCCTCACTCACCGCAGTGCCCCCCCCCCCCCCCCCCCAGTGTGACCACGTTTTTTGTGTGTGAAGTCTGCGGTCGTCCCTTCCCCTTTGTGGACTACTGTCTCTTCCTTCATCGAGCTTTTGGCTCGAGG